AATTGAAGGAACTTAATTTTTTTAGGAGAGTAGAATGGAGGAAAATTAAAACAAAATTAATCATCTAGCTTTTTTCTAACTATGTTAAAATTAAATAGTATTTTCTGTTCTTCATATTTCTGACTGCAAGTCAACTGAGAATTTGCACATTTTCTTTAAGGATTTTAATGTAATCTTTTCCTTTATTTCAAAGGCAGTAGAAATTGTATATACACATGCCTTGTTATTTACCTAGATTGACACTGGCATTTTAATTTCATTACTTGAGAATTTATAGCATTATATTTATGTGCACACCAAAATTATGCAGGAGTTCCCTGAGGGCCGTGTTCCTCCCATTTACCTGATATTGTCACACCAAGCTTACCCTTCTCAAGGCAAAAACTTTTCACACTGAGGGCACATTACAAGTAGCCAGCTCTGGGGACTTTGTAATTTTTCCCAAACTAATGTCTCCAAATGGCTTTCTCACCCATTTCAAATTAGCAAATACATTTATTAAGCCATTCAGGACTATATCATGTTTTATGAAAGTTTTAATGAAGTATCGCTTTGGTAAAAAACAAAATCGACTCTTTTTGAACTTAGAGCGTATGAGCCATGGGTGGTCTATTTTACAGTTAGCCCCTAACCTGACTCTGACTGAAGATATTGAGCTTCGCCGTTGTCTGTTACAGCAGATGTAGTCCGTTTAATTTCACCATCTGGTGAGATCCAAGTCTGTACTCGTCTTTTATGATGACGATCGAAGGTCATTTATAGAGATTCAGGAAGTGGTCTGGTTAAATTCTGCTATCAGATTTCCAGGGTTGTTTCCATTACCGAGGGCATGTTCTCTCAACTACGGACGTTTGTCTTTGTAACTTTCACATTTAATTCCAGTAATTATCAATGGCTCTGGAATGCATGTTTGAATAAATTTAGACTGCAGAAGTTGATAGAAATCTTCACTATTTTCATGATTGATTTTAGTGGTTGGTAGGAAAATTTGGCTAGTAGTCATGTCAAGTAATTGTAGGCTTACATAGGGTTATTATCCCAGCACAGACAACAGTGTACTTAAGGATAAAACTAAAGTGTTCTTTTTAACAATGATGTGACACCATCCATTATTAATTTGTCTGTGTCCTCATAGTACACCTTATGATTGTTTGATTTAAAATAGATACTACAAGTCTATTTTAGTTAGCTAATATTTAGCATAGCGCTGTGTTAGCACTTTCAGGGAAATGTTGGACAGCTAAATATAAGCTCAGCATTTAAACGACCAGCTTCTCTAGTGGAGAGAGGTGAGACCACCTTTTCCAGAAGCTTTCCTCACCCTCCAGGTCTGCAACTCACCCTTGTGGCACAATGTTCAGCAAAACAGCAGACGACCTATCAGGTAAATAATGGTGCTCCTTTGTATGCACACTTCACCATTGGCAACCATATGGGATGAAATGGGCAAACTCACCCAGGAACAAAATTCAGAAGGATGAAGAAAGAAGGAAGAATATAAAGAGGAGACACAGGAGGGCGAAGGAGACTTGATGTTACATTGAGGGGATTGCAGTGAATGAATGAAATAAAATGTGTGTTTGCCTTGTTGGATGTAAAACTGATGATCTGCCCTGTAAATCTTCAACTCTTTCACAGGAAAATGTTTAAGATAATAAAAAAGATAATGAAATATATCTCCCTGGTGGCCCAATAGTTAATTTTAATTACTTGACTGCTAGCCAGAGACCAGTGGTTTGACATGTATACATTTGTTTATAGATGTATATGCACACATATATCCATATACACACATACATAGATATAGTCAAGTAAGTCTGACTCACGTAGACCTATGTGCAACAGAAGGAAACACTGCCAGGCTCTGTGCCATCCTCATACTTTTTCTTCAGCTTGAGCTCATTGTTGCAGCCACTACATCAATCTATCTGGTCCAGGTCCTTCCTCGTTCCCCTGCCCCTCTGCTTTACTGAGCCTGATATCCTTCTCCAGGGGCTGGTCTCTTCTGACAACTTGGCCAAATCACCTGAGCCTAAGTCCCACCAACCTTGCCTCTAAGGAGCATTCTGGCTGTACTTCTTCCAAGAGAGATTTGTTTGTTCTTTTGACAGTCAGTGGTCCTTTTAAATTCTCCATCAGCAGCATAATTTAAGTGCATCCGCTCTTCTTGCTTATTCATTGTTCAACTTGCGCATGTATATGAGGCAATGGACAATACCTTGCCTTGGGTCTGGGGCACCTTAGTCAACAAAGTAACATCCTTGCTTTTCAACACTTTAAAGAGGCCTGATGCAAATGGTTTACCCAATACCGAGCACTGTTCAGTCTACTGTTGATACTATAAGCATTGATTGTAGATCCAAGAAAGAGGAGATCCTTGACAACTTCAATCTTTTCTCTGGTTAGCATGATGCTACCTATTCATCAGTTGGGAGGATTTTGGCTTTCTGTAAATGGAGTTGTAATCCCTTCTGAAGGCTGCATTCCTGATCATCAGCAAATGCTCACCTCACTTGCCTGTCAGGTTGTCATACTGCATTGCCTTGTGTTTTGTTCTGATGCTGGAAGCTATGCCACTGGTATTTTAAGTACTAACACGTTTTTTCCAAACTGAACAGATTTCAGCAGAGGTTTCAGATTAAGAACAGACTGAAGAATGAATAGGCTGCCCACTTCTCAGGAATAGCTCCTGAAAATCTCACAGATAGTATCCAAATGCATAAAGTGGTACACACCAATATATATGCCATTTGGGTTTTTTTGGTAATTACTTCGTGATGAAACTTCATTGAAAATAAATTTGCTCTGCATAGCATAGTTTAGGTCAATAAAAAAAAACAAATTATGGTGATTGTATAGGTTGGCCATTGGGCTGCTAACCACAAGGTAATGGTTAAAATCCAGCAGTAGATTTGAGGGGTAAAGATGAGGCTGTTTGCTCCAGAAAGACTAACAGTCTTGGAAACCCCATATTATATTGATTAGAGGGCAGTTATTGTGGTTTGATTTTGGACAAAGGAGTGTTTAAAGACAATCCAAAGTCTCTGAAGGGTCCAATGTACCACTAAAATAAAGTCCACTGTTTTTAACTTGTTAATTCAAAGACCTTCACCCTGTCTTCTTGTTTCCTTACCACTCACCCCAGCCTCCTTTTTTCCTTTCTTTTTTTACTTCATCCTATGGTTTCTGCTTCATTTTTCTTTTACTTCATAGCAGAGTTCAAATATCTTCTTACATTTATTTTTGATTCTCACCCTATCTTTGTGAAATTAAGTATATTGCATCTAAGATTTTTTAGAATACTATTAATGATGATCTCATGTTTTTATTCTGGCTTTTTAGGTGTTTATCAAAGCACACATAATTTTATATGACATGCATATCCAACTGTCATCCAGTCAGTGACAACTCTGAGCAACCCTCTGTATAACTTGTACTATACTATGTGTGATTTTACCGGTCATTCTAGCTGATAGAATTTCAAGTCATTGAAAGTCATCTGAGAGCCTTATTTCCAAATGCCCATTGAAGACTCATCAAAAAGAGTCCTAGTAGAGACGTGGTTATCTGCTCAGTAACTAATTAAAGATAGAGGAGCCCTGGTGGCATAGTGGTTCCACATTGTGCTGCTAACTGCAAGGTCAGCAGTTTGAAACCACCTGCCACTTTGTGAGAGAAAGGGAAGATTTCTATGCCCGTAAACAGGTACAGACTTGGAATCTCAAAAGGGGGTAGTTCAACCCCATGAGTCAGAATTAACTTGATTCCCATGAGTTTTTTTGGGTTTTGGTGGTTTGAACCCGCATATACTCTGTGGGATAATGATGTGACAGTCTACTTACATCAAGACACAGTGGATGGATGGGTGTATTGAGATGAGTTGTATAAGCCACCCCCCTACCCCCCAAAAAGAGTGATAGGCTTGGTAACCCTATTCTACTCAGTTGGGTGACTCTGAGCCAGATTTGACTTGATAATTTGGGTTTGACTTATAGTTGAAGATGAAGAATAAACACAACCCACATGAAGAGGGAAGGTGAATTGAAGAAGGCAGGAGATACAGAAATAAAGAAAGGAATGGGGAGTGTAGGGCACTGGCAGCTTTTGTGTGGAAGATCTTAGTATATAGGAGAATGTTATTACAGTTACCCTTAAATATCTAGCATTATTACTTATCATCAGTATAAGTGATATAATGGTTGGATTTTTTGTTCAACAAGATATAATACTAGCTTATAACTAGGAATCATGTTTCAGTTGATATTCACTTTGATTTTCATTTTGATATATGATTTGTAATGAACATTCTAATGTGCAAAGACTAGGTCATTGTTTATCATTCAATCTATAATAAAAGGCTTACAAAATTAAAACAAATCTATATGAAGGCAAAACTGAGTGCAATTACATTTTGTGCAAATTTGTACAATCTTGGTGAAAGGAATCATCTCTAGATATCTAATAGAAAGGTTAGGTGGAAATAATGAAGTAGAGAGTATTTTCATACTTTACAATGTTTTCCTCTTTCTTTCCCTTTTATATTCTAGGCACAATATATTTAATTAAAGCAATCTGTGTAAATTTGTTCAGGAGAGAAAGCAGAAAATGCTAAATGACTTCTGGAATTCTTTCTATTGTCTGTGTTGACTTAATGAAAAATGTGAATCAGACATTTCACATAATGTAATGAAACCCCCTTCATTAGTAGTAAATGACATTTGTATTCTATATTAAACCAGTCTCCTGTGACTGCAAAGTAACCCTCTTAATGTGCTTGAAATTAGTAGCAATTTATTAAGCTTTATTGGGTGGTTGCTTATTGCTATGCTGTTGGCATTTCTCTCTCTCTTTCTCTCTCTCTCTCTCACACACACACACACACACACACACACACACGTAGTATTTCAATTGTTGCAAAGACTAAGTTTAAACAACTGCCTTAACAAGCATGGTGTCTTTTAAAATCTCTCTTAACACTTGCCGCTTTTGCAACCCTGCAGCTGACCAAACAGGAATGTTGTTCATAGGAGATGCAGTTATGCAGGTTAGTATTTTAATACTTGTTTGTTGGTATTTTTATCTTAAACTTACATTCTTTGATTTTTCCCTTCAAAATTCTTAATTTGTCATTTCTTTAGGTTAACGGCATTAATGTAGAAAATGCAACCCATGAAGAAGTGGTAAGTGTGCTATATTTTATGCTTTTGTTGTATTTACTCCAAATGCTTTTATACTCAAAGTGCTGTGTTCTCTAAATGCATATGCCACTGAATACATTAATATATATATAGAATTAGATTGGGAAAGAAGAGTTTAAATTATTTAGTAAATTTTAACTGATCTTTCTTAAATACCGATGATGCGCCATGCAATATGCTTGACACTTTATACACATGGTAATGAATTATCCAAAATAGTCAAGAGCTAAACTTATTATGCTTATTATAATATGAGGCATTTGGCATTCATCATGTGTTTAATAATTTTACATAGATTTCTTGGATGACTGTGGTCAGAACTAAGAACAGAATCTGTCACAGGTTTTCTATACAAGCACCTAATACCATCTAGAACCTCAATGATGTTAAGGCCTTAGCTATATTATATATTCGCTTTTTCTAGTACATTTTGAGTTGGTGGGTAAGTCACAAAATATTTCTGTAAAAGCACAGAAACATTTTTTGATATATCCTTCATGTAGGACTCTCCTTATGAGGCACTGTTTGCATCCCTCTAACCCTTCCCCAGTGAGTTCTTTACTCTTCCATTTATGCTACATCAAAGTGGCAGATTTAGCATCTGCAGGAGACACAAATCACATTACTTTTCAAGGTTATTTGAGTCTGGGAACAAAAAGAAGTCTGAAGGAGGAGAGATGAGAGCTGTAAAGTGGATGTGGTAAGGTTTCCTAACCAAATAACTTAGTCCTTTCTTATCCTGGAAAAATCAGCAGGTCCATTGTGGTGGTGGGAAATGTCCCTCAGTTCAACTTCCTGCCCTTGTCTCACCAATGTACTTCCCACTGCCTTAAACCCTCTTCTTCACAAAGTTGTATGACTGCCCTGTATCTTTTGGGAAAATTTACCAAGATTATTTCTTTGTAATAATAATAATTAAAAAGTTTCCATAATTTTCCTAGCTGACTTCCTTGCTGCCTTTAGTGAAACGGGTTCAGTAGATGCCCTCAGAGCCTCCCTTTAGATTGGCCCATACTTTCAGCACCCAAATTAGAATAAAGGGAGAACGATGAGCCTTTATACTCCTGTAAAAATTTACAGTCTCAGAAATCTACAAGGGCTGGTCTACTCTGTTCTATAGGGGCCCATTGAGTTTGGATCCATTTGGTGGCAGTGAGTTTGAGTTTTTAATGATACTAAAACAAGTATATTACCAAAGAAACATGTCTGCCTTCCACTGATCCCAGACACACGTTTGAACGTGTTGTTTGGAATAAGCGTGTGCACATGCAAGAACTGGAACTTAGTAGTAACATGTTTGTACTGACTCTCACATAAGATATACCCCTTAGGGCAGTGCTTCCCAGAGTCAGAGATACCGCCCCCTGGGGTGCACTGGAAGGATACAGGAGCGCTGCAAAAACAGATCCCTTTATCCTGTATTATCACCTTTAGTACTGAAGTGTCTAATTGCCTGGGGAATATTAAGTAACTGTTTCTGAGAAGGAGCAGCAGGCCAAGCAAATTTGGTAACCTCTGCCTTAGAGAATGTGGCATGATATAGATAGATAAATGTATAGATAAGTAGATAGATAGATAGATAGATAGAGATAGATATATCATTATTACATAAGATGATATGTCAGAATTTTAGTTAAAAATGTTTTACCCCATTTCTTCCATGATGATGTACTTTTTCAAGTGTCTTGTTTGGTTTAGGTTCTGGTGATGGCAATAAAGGCAAACAATCTAGCCTTGAATTGCACATCTACTATTATGTCGTCACTTGATACCATGTAGATATGTGAGCAAAGGACAGTGGAAACAGAAAGAGTAGATTGGAGGCAAAGGGGCAAAGCTAGAGAAGACAGACTGAATCCTAAAGAATGAGATGTGCTAAGAAATAAAGAAATGGCTTGTACACTGGCACAGATAAGAACTTGCAACACAGGGAATCCAGGATAGATAAACACCTCAGAAACAATAATGAGAGCAGCGATACCATACTGGGAGGAGAAGGGGAAGGTGGGGGGAGAAAGGGCGAACCGATCACAATGGTCAACATATAACTGCTTCCCAGGGGGATGAACAACAGAAAAGTGGGTGAAGGGAGACAGTGGTCGGTGTAAGCCATGAAAAAAAAAATTATAAATTATCATGGGTTCATGAGGGAGAGAGGGTGGGGAAGGGGCGGAAATAAGCTGATACCAAGGGCTGAAGTAGAAAGAAAATGATGATGGCAACAAATGTACAAATAGGCTTGATACAATGTATGTATGTGTGGATTGTGATAAGAGCTGTAAGAGCCCCCAATCGAATTATTTAGAAAAGAAAGAAATATCAGGGAAAACAATAATTTCTACCCAAGGTTGCTTTCTTAATGTTGCAAAACCATATCATAATTGAAAGAAAGGGAATGCACCCCCAGATCACTTCTGAAGTTCTCACCCAATGTAACTTCATCAAGGAAACATGTGTCTTGAGTAAAGGCTGTGTGAACTCATGAAGTGCACCTGTTCCAATATTTGATTGATGCACATATCCTTCCATCCAACCTATCAAATTATATGTCCTCCTCCTTAGGCAAATATACAGATAAGTAGTTGGGGAATTTTGAATGAGATGTGTACGCTCAATTTTTCAGATTTATAAAATTCACAAATAATGCTACATTTGTAAAAACACCGCATAAATCACATGGTTTTCCTTTTATTACTTTAGAGTAAAATCTAGCTTCAATTAATTCTAAAAGAAATATGTCAGCTCTACTCAAATTAATTTTAAGACTCATATCAAAAAAATCAATCTTAACCACCCTTATGCTGTCTCCAATTTCAGGGAAGTTTTGCTATATTAATGTAACAATAGTGAAACATTGTTTCTGTATACCTTTATCTGTTTACCTTTATCTAAAAGTAATAGTAGTTCAACTATGAAATAGAGTAAACTGTCCTCAAATTTACTGGGCTAATTCTGATATAAATATGTCACTACTGAGAAAAAGGAGAATTATTCCTATCATCTAATTTGATTTTTAAAAAAAAAACAAAATCAGAGATAGCTGAGTTGCATCTTCTGAGGAAGCTGCCGACTCCACATAGAAAATGCTTGTCTTGGTGTGAGAGACACTTATGAGAAATCACTTATGAGAAATATAAGAAAGAAAAAGATATCTTAAATGTTAAACTTAGACATTGCAATAAAATGTTGCATCTAGTCTGATTTTTTGGGTCTAGTTTCTTCCAAATGTAGTGGAGGAGCTCTGGTGGCATAATGGCTGTGCATTGGATTGCAATTCCCATGGTGAGCAGTTCAAAATCACCAGACTCTGCAGAAGAAAGACTGGGCTTTCTACTCCAATAAAATATTAGTTTTAGAAACCTGCAGAGGCAGTCATTATAATCAGCATTGACTCGGGGCCATTGAGTTTGGTTTTGGTTTTGTAGTTCCTTCCAACATAGTCCCAGCCCAGTCCAATTCAAGTCCATAAGTCCGATATTATCCAATATGTCTGATCCCGATCTATAAAGTCCTCTTCAGACTCAGGAAACACATGCAATGACGCAGAATGCAGGAAGATCACAGGCTAGTGGGTGGAAAGTCTTGTGGATCCAGTGGCATTGTAAGCATCTCAACGCTGGCAGGGGTCTCCACATGGCTCCTTCTGCTCAGGGCACAAGCAAAGTTCCATGTGTCTTGTCAGCTGCACTGTCTGCCAGGGAGTGAGTCTGTATCCCACCTCCTATGAGCTATTTATCTCCTTAGCGCCTCCAAATGAGGCCATCAAGCTGTCATCTGTTTACAGGCTAAACCCCACCCTTTTACACTTAAGCCTCAAATTTGACAACAGATTATGTAACTACCACAGACTACCCCTTGTCAATTTGACACTTTCACCTAACTCTTTAGCCATACGTAATTTTCAAACAACCTAATAAAGTCATATCTGTACCTAACAGGATTAAAACAAAAATGCATATAATTAAGAAATGTACCAAAGCCCCATTTAAACATAATATTCTATAAGTGAGCAACACAGCTACATTCTATGCCAACCTGTTGCAGTTAAAAAACACCTACACCTTAATCCTATAATCCTATATTCCCCCATCTTGAAAGTTTGTAAGCCAGCCACTTCATTCCTGTATCCATCCTATTTTGGGTATCAAATTTCTACACTGCCCATTTACATCAACCCAGTGCTCTGAGGAGACAATCATATTATTTGATGTGAAGAATCTTCATTCCAGTTGGAACCTTGTGAAATCGGCATCTATAAGCAAAGTCAAATAAGGATGGGCTATCCATAAAGTCTGCAGCAACATGCACCACTTCACAAGCCCAAAAAACATTTCTCTTCTTCTGGTCGGCTTCTGGTCAATTCAATGTGGGCTGCGTCACTTAGCCACACCAGGGTGCCCATTGGTCACCTTTCCTTTAGACCATGGCCCCATCACAGAGTCACAACAACCCCATCCCCCTTGGGCGAGGTCATGGACTTCAGACCAGTCAACATGCTCTCATCTTCTCCTCAGCTTGTCATCTGCTCTTGTTGTCATCCAACGAATATGACAGATTTTACCTTCAGATACAATTATTTCAAATGTAATCATGAATTTTCTAGAAGTGATGTTGATTACCATGTTTGTGTTTTGTATTTTAAAGGTTTAGCCTCTCAGAGCATAAACAGATGTTACAGATTATTACTGTGATCAGCAACACATTTCCATAATCTCCACATACAGGAAATCACTCAGACACTTCGCTCTGATACCACAAATCCACTTGCTCCACGTACAGCAAATACATTTCTAAACAGGATTTTTTGATATTGAGTAGAATCCAGAATTCCTGTTACTCCATGGTTATTCATTTAATTAATGTTTATAAAGTGTCTATTAAGTTAAAAAATAAGACAGTATTCTTTACCACATATAAGTGTGGTTTCTATCTTCAAGAAAGGGTATGGTCTAATTGGGAAACAGTTAATTCTATCAAACAAT